GTGCCAGGGCCTGCCCACCCTCACAGGGAAAATTAATTCCATATTTCTAATCTAAATTCCCTCTCTTTCAGTTTGAACTCATTCCCCTTGTCTTGCCATTCCAGTTCCTGATGAAGAGTCACTCTCTGGACTCCAAGCTCTGCCCTGAAGACAGAACAAGAATTTCTGTCCCATTGTAGTTGCAGGTCACAGTGTCTGCTGCTGTTCCCATCCCACTGCCTCACTCTGTGCCGAGGACACACAATCCCCACCCCCTGATCCCGAGGCCACCTCAGATGGAAAATCAGAAAATTGCAGTTGCCATCAGGAATGACCCTGGGGCTGAGGAAACCTCCCAGCAGAGGCAGGCTGCACTGCCTGGTAATTGGTCTGATCACCAGGGTGGAATGAACTGAGTGCTCCTGAATTTCTGTTCCCTGTACCCTCAGCTTTGATTAACTGGGAGCTCCAGAGCTGCTGCTCCAGCTGCAGACCCAGCTCAGCATCCCCTGCAGGGAGGTGTCCTGGGCACGAGGTGACGATGCTGTTCCGTGCTGGTGGCATTTCCAGAATTTTCCACACTCAGGGGAGTCCTGAACATGGACACAGGCTGGGCTATGTCTGCATGGAGAGCAGGTCACCAGGGCTTGTTGCTCCAGTTTGGATGGGGGATTTAAAACAACCCAAAAGGCAGCACAGCATTGACTGCCACATTGACTGATTGTGTAAAGCAAAGAAAAACTTATTTCTTGTAGGTTTTTTTCCCTAAGAAAATGCTTTTTCTCCTCTACCACGATGCACCTGAGTCACCCTCGTATCACTGAGGTGGGAAATTCCATTCTTTTGAGGGCATAACCTCATCCAAAGCTCACCAAAATCTGTGAGGGCCAGGAGATGTTAGACCTGGCTGTGCCAAACCTCTGAGCACATCTTGGAATTGTTCCCTGCTTTCTCCTACCCCTGCCAGGGCAACACCTGCTTTTATTTGCTTATCAGATTGATAGATATGATTTTACAAATCAATCAGAAAAAGATCATAGAGGGAGTCTTAAAAAGAACCAAAGAGCTGTGGGGAGAAATGGAATGTGATTATTGTTCTCAAGGAGATGAATACAGCATCAAACAGAAACCCTGCAGGTTCCTAAACCTTCTGTAACTCTTTTTTGTGGTCACTGCTTTCTGGGACACCACAAACGAGCTCTTGCCATCAACACCTGAAGGATTTCCAGCTGGCTCCTCAAACTTCTCTCCAGCAGGGGCTGCAGATTCAAATAGGTTTGACAAATTCTTCTTTATTCTTTTTTTTTTTTCTTTCCCCCCTAGGGATGAAATGGTTTCTTTTACTAACATTTAATCAACCCTCTGCAGGATAACATTAATACAGCACAGAGAGGGATTCAGGCATGCAGAGCTCAGAGCTGCAGAGTTGGGGTTGGAAGTTCCACTCCAGCGAGGGGCAGGTGTGGTGGGACAAGATGCACGTGTGACTTTTAGGAAAATATTCCCCATTTTTGCCTGCAAATCCACCCTGTGAGCACTCTCTGGGATAAGATCCTTCACCTTTCCAGTGTCTCCTGTGTTACTGATAATTCCAACAGCCCCAGTGAATTTGGGGACAGAGTTAGCACAGGGCTGTTCCCACCAGCACTACTGACTGTCACCTCTTTGTCTTCTCTAAAATGGAATTCCATGTTATCTACTGAAATTTGTGCTTAGACCTCATTGGGAAAAGGGGAAGATCTTAAAAGGTATTCAGGCAAAAAGAAATAGCTGAAATTGCTCAGTTTGGACTTTGCTGAAAGGGCTCAGCAGCTGATGGCTGAAGCAATCTATCAAAGAAAATAAGTAAAAAAAAGTTCTTGGCTGTGGAGAAAAAGTAAAATTTTTTGTAGAATCACTGAATATTTGGAGTTGGAAGGGTCCCACAAGGATCATAAAGTCCAAATCCTGGCCCTGCACAGGACAACCCCAAAACCCCCACCATGAGAGGGTTACACCCTCCTGTGCATGTTGTCAGGAACATTTTTATTGTGACTTCCTCTCTGTAATTCTTTTTTTCCTATTGTAAGCAGCTTTGTAATGATATGCTTCAATCTAATCATGAAATTAGAAAAGGAGTTCTCCTCGTTAAAAGCTGCTGACAAATCTACACACAGCCTTATACAACATCCTCTGACCCTGCCAGGGAAGGCTGGTGTGAGGAGATGTCCCCACTGACATGTGGGGCCAGTGAAAATGTTTATTTGGGTTCCTAGAACACAAACAAGTTGGTTTTGCTCTTGGGAGAAGGTGTGAGTTCCCACAAGGAGCTGAAAACTGGGTGTCTTCTCTCCCAGCCTCGACCAGGCTGCAAACTGGGACAAATCTTGTCAAAATCTTGGCAAAACGTGCTGAAAGGTGATGAAAGGAAGACTTGGGGAGTCACAAATGTTTCTGTCATTCCCTACATCTCCAAACCACATGGAGATTGTTTCCCTGCTCCAAAGTCAGGGCTTATGTCTTCTGTGCTCCTCACCAGTCTCAGTTTTCCTTCCCTGCTGCTGCTTTTTTGCCAAGGATGAATATTCAGTTCCCTAAAAAAAACCACCTGCCTTGACAAATCCACCTGCACAATCCCAGTTTTTCAGCACAAAAGTGATATTGGTAACGCTGGGTCCCAGCACCGACCTGGTTGTGCTACCAAGGCTGATCAGACACTGTGGGGACACGGTGAGCTGCCCTTCCAGACATTCTGTGCTTCTTCCCAAATGTTTTTCCTCAGCTCTCACCCAGTTGGGCTCCTACTGGTGGAGCAACCAACCCACTGTGTGTCTGCTGGTCCGCCCAGCCGCGAATTCAGGTGGCTCTAACCGGGACCAGCGTGAGGAGAAAGCCCTCAGGCCTGGTTTGATGTGATTCCACATCCATCTGTTGTTGCTGCAGGCCACCCCAGCGTGCATTTCCATGGCAAACTGCCTTTTGAAATAATTCCCAGCAGAGCGAGGACGTTGCCAAACGCCAGCGCTGTGACCGAGCGGCGTCACTGCAGCTGGAGATCTTCTGGTGTTTTATGGGTTCAGAGAGAATGCACGGCACAAGACGCTGCAGAATTTCTAGGAAAACGCCTCTGTTGACAATTCACAAGAAAGAAGTGTTTCCTCTGGTGGAGGGCACTCAGCGTGTCCCGGCTTCCACGGCCCAAAGCAAGTCTGGTTTGAGAGCACCATGCTCCTCTCTCACTTCCAGCCTTCAGCCCATCTTGCCACCACATCTGGTGAGGTGAAATGTCACCCTCAGGGTGTCCTGAGGGCCACGCTGGGAGACCGAAGTGGGGCTGGCCAGCTGCTGTTTGGGCCCAGGACACGCTGCAGCCATACTTCGATATCAAGCTGAGTCATGATGGCACCACTTCCTCTAAAGCAATGACAGCAAGGTGGCTGCAAACCTTCCCCGGGATTTGACTCAGCCTTAAATCCCTCCAGAGTCTGGCTCCTGGCTCAAAAGCCAAATTTCCCCAAGATGCCATGCACAGACCCACTGTTCCCACGCACGTCTTGCTGGATAAAGGCAATTCAAGATAATATACAACCAACTTTCAGAGAGGCTGCAGCTCACAACTTTGCCTTTAAAAACATATTTTACAACCCCACCATCCTTGATTTCCAGGAACTCATGAATAGAAAAGATATATTGCTCTTGGTAACTAAATAGTATCATTAAAACCATTATGAATCTTGCAGAAATCATTCCTGTCTACCTAATCTAATCTGGGAACAATGACTATTATTAACTTGTCTTGTTCTGTTGCCATTTGAGATGATGGCCCTGGATGCACGGGGAGCTATTACAGGATCCAGTTTTTGTAAATTTGCATTGCTCTTAAGTGCTTGAGTGCCTCTCCTTCAGGGAGCTCCCGGGATTTATCCCTTCCAGGGAAGTGTAGCGAAGCTGAAGAGGGAAATGAGGAGTTCAGGGAACAACAGAAAGCTTAACTCCTGTCCTTATCACATGGATAAGAGTCTCTTGGCTGAGTTCTCATGCTCAGCTACACAAGAGATCCACTGGAAGTTCTTATGATCGACAATGGCATTGCTCCGTGTGGCTTCCTGGTCTATAAAACAAGACACTTGATGTCCTCAATAATGTGGTAACTCCCAGTTGCCTGTAAGGAATGTTGTATTTTTGAAGGCTCCAAGGTTCAGCCAATGTTGGCTCCATACCCTCAGGCTCTGTCTCACAAGTGCTGAGCTGCAGAGGAGACAAAAGGAGGCTCTGTCTGTTCCCACCCTCGGATCACCACAGTGTTCCCACACCTCACCTCAAAAATGTGGCACCTTCAGCAGGCAGCACTCCCTGAGACTGTGACTGTTTGACCTCCCTCTCCACACAGCTTGATGGAATAGGCCTCATTTCCTTAGGAAACTGGCTTCCAGAGGAAAAAATTAAAAATCCTCTACCTGTTTCCCTCATTCCGTGGTAATAAAAAAATCAGTGAATTATTTCCCCGATCACAGAACTCAAATGAACCAAACAAATCCATTGGAGCCCGCCCCCCAAATAAGAAGAATGATAAATATAAAGTCTGCTGCACTTTGGGATGGAATCCCTGCAAAAACCAGCTTCAGAAGAAGGTGTTTTATGTGCCTGCAGAAAGCAGGGTGGGAATGGGGCTGTGGTTCCCTTCACTTGTGCTGAAGGTGCTAAATGTGACTTCACCCAATTCTCATTTCTCTGCTGCAAAGATGTTTATTCTCTTCATCACAGGGGCAATAATAGCAGTTTCCAGGCATCTCCAGCAGGAAGGAGTGATGCTGTTGGTGTAAAAAATTAAAAACAGGAAAGATCAGAGTACTTTTCTAACACAACGGGATGTGATGTGTGGATGTAGATGTTATTCCTGTCCCACTCCTCCCTGGTGTAACCTTTTACCCCTTTCTCCAATTCCAGAGCCACAAAACTACTGATTTTCTCAAGTTTCACAAGAACAGAGACCTGAGCAGAGGTGAGAGACCTCAGGAATCTCCTATGCATCCCATGGGATGCTCATGTGGACAGCAACAGCCGACCTCAAACCTACAGGAATGCAACATCCGTGTGCAGAGATTGGGAGAACAATTTGATTTCAATCTGGTTTTATGTGAGTGGGGTTAAACAGGCCAGAATTCTGCTCTGGTCCCAGCAGAGCTGCTGAGATTTGTGGTGGCATCATCAGAGAGTCTCTTGAAGGAAAAGCATTCTACTTCTTACACTGATAACATTCCCATGAAGTTATTGGTCCTACCATTGGAAACCGCAAGAGAAACCTCAAACAGGGACTGAAAGTGAGGAAATCCCCCTTGATGGGTGACCTGATCTCTGGTTTGAGCCCAATCACCCCACTGCAAATGAGCAGCACACCCCCAGCTGTCAGGGCCAGCGTGCTCCAGAGCTGAGCTCATTTCCATGCTGGGTGGAAACTATTTTCACAGTGGAATTCTTGCATTTCGTTAATGAGGAGTTGTTCTGCCAAGCCCAGGGGTCGGAGGATGTGCCCTCCCCATCCCTGGGCACGGATGCTCAGCCAAGGAGGTGCCAGTCGAGGGATCAGCTCCTGCAGGAACACGGAATCACCTGCAGGAAGCAAAATTGGAATGATACAAACCTTACACTGAGGGGATAATGAAAAAACAAATAACTTTCCTTCCAGTGGAAGGCTCTGATATCTGCAGCTGAGCAGATCAAAGTGAAGTGAGGTTAAAACACAGCTGTGGTAAAGCTTTGCAACTGCAAGGAAGTTTTTGGAATATTTTTTCAGACCTAGGAGAAGGAGCAGGTGATGGACATTTGCACTTGGTAACACATCCTCAGGTCCCAGAACTCAGAAGTATGAGATGCTGTGTCTTTTAATGTCACCCAAATAAGTGCTTGGGGGTGTATTTCCATCCCCACCCTCCTCAAAATATGAGATTAAAGCCTCTGCTTGAGATAAGGAGCCTGTAATGATACCGAGCATTTATTTTTAATATGATTCCATGAAATTTCCCATTTTATTTATCAGGAGACAAAGTATAAAGAGTATCAGGGCAAGAATCTGTTCTTGGGGAGTATGAGGAGTGTGAGCCTTTATCAGACATCCTCATTACAACCCACACTAGCATCCCTTGGGGATAACACCAGAAAAAACCCAGGGAAATAACAACTAAAAGCAAACTTAACCATGTATTTCAAGCTCTCCCTATTAGGGAGTCCCCAGAACACCTCACAGCCACAACTCCCAGTCCTTTTGGAGGCTGTTCACCTCAGTTATCACTCCCTGTGGCTTTTCTCAGCATCTCCAGTCCATGGGGGAAGAATTTCTGGCAAAAAGCCCTTTTTCTGCCCAAGTGAACCCATTTTCCCCATCACCACCTGTGCCAACCTCTCTCCACCCCAGGGCCTCATCCCACCCTGCTCCAGGGGTGTTTTCAATGTCCAGGGGGATTTCAGGAAGCAGCAGCTGAACATCACCCCCAGAACACTATGAACATCTCCAGTTGCTCCTCAGGGATGTCTCTCCCGTCAGGAGGAGAAATAAACACTAAATAATTGAATATTAACCTCCCCAGGCTGGTCATTCCAGAGCTGCTGGACCACTGAACTTCAACGCTTCCCCCAGCCCTAAGTGTAAATAAGTTTATGGGAAACAGATGAGGGTAAAGAGGAGGGTGGGGGTGAGCTTGTTTTCCTCCCCACCCTCATGAAAGGCCCTGACCTCTTTACTTTTGCCTTTGTGCCCTCTCCTCTGGTCTGGAGAGGAGCTGTTTTTTCCAGGATTTGTGGTGATGAATGGGGTGGTCCCTCTGGGAGCTGGCAGAAAAGGAGGCAGAAGGGGAGGGCTGCATCTTCCACTCCCTGGGATGTTAAAAGGTGAGTCAAAGGAGGCTCTGCCTCATGGAAATGGGCTCTCTGTCCAGCAAGGTAAATCCTGATTTTTGTTTTTTGGCTGATTAATTTTGTCTTTTGCTGATTATTTTTGTCTCTCTGTGGCTGTTTGAATGGAAGGGAGACAAGGGAGGTGATGCAAGTGAAGCTGAAATCTGTTGAGCAGCTCGGTTAAAGGCTTCTGTTTGGGTTTTATTAATTTATTTTGGTTTTTAAGGATTTGAGGTTTTATTTTAATCTGTTCTTGAGGAGTCCTGGTTGCCTTTTCCAAGTAAAAGTAACACTCAGGGGTGCTGACTGTGGAGACCTTGCTGTGAAGGGAGCAGGGTGAAGGAACAAAGCTGTGGGATGGTGTGAAACAATGAGAGGGACGGAGGAGAGACACAAATTTATTCCCCTGGAACGCAGAGGCTGAGGTAGTGGGTGTGAATTTCTTGAGAGGTCTTCCACTATCAAGCTGCTGTTATAAAAACCACCCCACCCTGCTGCCCATCCTGCAAGCAACTTGTATTTTTAATTAATGGAATTAATTAATTAATGCCACTGGCAGAGAGGCTCCAGCACAACCAGGGCAGGGGGGAAGCCAAGGTGGTGACAGGTTGTGTCCTTTCCCCCTGGAGCTGTGGCAGGAAAGGAACCTGCTGCCAGGAGCTTCTGGGAAGAAGAAATCTCCGTGCTGTTCTTGGAAGGAACGGCCAAGAAAGCTCCTGATCCTGCTGTGGGAGCAGAAGTTTGTGGGCAGGGTGATAGATGAGCTGAGGGAGCAAGATTTCCCTCCCCAGGAGAAGCTGAGTGCAAGGATTCCATGGAATTCCTAATGAGGGGCTGGGCTGGAAAGGGATGAAATAAATCAGGTGTGAACGGAGATGTGAGCTCCTCCTCACCAGAGATGAGGCCACAACCTGTGTGAAAGCCTCACTGAAGGACCTGGAACAGCTTCCAGGAGGTGAAGGAAGGATGGGGATGGCCCCTGTGTGATGATTATTCCACCCACTTTGGCCTGTGCCTGTTGCCTCTGGCTGAAGAGCCCCTTTGAATGAGTGCTGGTGGTGAGAAATGGGGAAATTTGTTTGTTTAGGAGTGATTTCTCTTCTCTAGGTGCAATTTCTCCTGCCTAGATCTCGATGTTCACCCTTTCCTCTGAAGGAAAAGACTGAGGGATGTGGGAAACCACCAGGTGGAAACTTTTAAGCAGAAGAGGGTTGAATTTCTGGTTCCTTTTTCAATCAATGTGTCCAGTCTGGAGTACAGATTTAGATGAGCTCTGTGGAAAACATTCCCTGGCAGATCTAGGAAAACACCCCCAGCTCCTGAGGCTGCTGATGTGGATTTTCTGTCTAAAGGGAGGATGGGGGAGGCTCAGGTGTGTTTTATCAAGCAGCAGGTCATTGAGTTATCCCTGCACCCACCTGATGTGTCTCTTGCTCTGGAGCTCACCTCTATCCTCCAAGCCGCCCAACCAAAACTCAGTTTTGGATGTTTGTTGCTCAATTTTGTTGTTGTTCTTGTTTTTTGTTTTTTTTTGCTGTTTGTGACTTTATTCTTGAACAGAGGCACCTGAACTCCCTCCCAGGGACCTTGACTTATCCCTGTGTCCTCTGCTCTGTCTGGGGGAAAGCTATCAGGGAGAAAAGTACCCTCATCCTCCTCCCAGGAGCTGCAAAACCTCTCTCTGCATGGCCTGGGAGAAAATGTGGCCCTGAACCTGCCCACAGTTTGAGCTTCAAAGCAGTAATTAATTTGCTGAGCAGCTGTGAGCTGTAGAACTGACCCAGAATATTGAACAGTCTCCCTGCTGAGGGCCTGGTTCCCTCCCAGTGGATATCTCCTGTGTCTGTCCCCATATTTTGGGAGGAGGGAACTCAGGTGGGATCCCCAAGGGAGCAGAAAAGACAGTTTTCCCTTCTGTAAATCAGTTGTGATGAGAGTTCCCTTCAGGGAAGTTGTGGTTGGGAATCTTCTAATTAAATGTGCCCAGTTGGGCTCCCTTTCCTGCAAAAACCTTGGATAAAGGATGGATTTCAACCCTGGGCTTCACAGTTTCTGGTTTTGGAGGGTGACCATGCGTAGAACTCCACTCTGCTGCAAAGGTTTTCCTTAAAAACAGACCAAAACTGAACCTCTTAAAACAATTAAGGGATTAAAACAATCCCTTGATGGTACAAGGCCTGTGCATCACCTGATTTTTTTCTTGGCCTCTATCACCCGCCCCCAAAAAGCCAAACCCCAAATCTTCCCCTATTTACCCCGCTGGGCAATCTTAACTGTATTTAATGGGAGTAGATGGCCCAAAGGCATTTGGGTTCCATCAAATCCGGATGATTCACTCCAATTACTTCTGTAAATAACATTTCTGGGAAAGTGGGAATCTTTAATCCCAAGCCCCACCAGCAAAGTGGAGGCAGGGAAGGAAGTGAAGCTGGATTTTCAATGATTTCCCAGATTTCTAACCCTGGGAAGGATTTTTCCCTGGCAAAACCGAGGGTGGGTGTTGGAAACGTCCTTGTCTGTGTTACCAAATGAGTGGGGATGGGATGAGCTCCAGGTTAGCCAAAGGCTGGAAAGGGGACAGAACTGTAATACAGAGGGCAGGAGGGAATCCCATCACTGTCCCTGGGGCTACTCTCATTTATTTCCTGGTGCTCACTTGACACCTCTGGTGCTGTCCCTTGGACTGGTGTGAGGTACCTTGACATTGGTTTGGGGGAAACTGGGACAGGGTGGGGTGTTTTTATAGGATAGGAGTGAGAAACACTTTTTAAGTCTCTGGTCTGGGCTATCTGTGGCGTGTCTGGGTAAAAGTGGAGGGAGGTGTTCTCATGAAACCTCAGACTGTTGGTTCTTTGGAAAAACAAGCCACATCCTCCTGTTAGTTATTAGAAGGGAGTTCACAAATCTTTTTCATTCTTGTTTTGTTTGTTAAAGTGGGGAATTCCCAAGGAGGGAGCTGGTTTTCTGTGGGAAGAAGGTTGCAACCAGCAGAGAGTGGGAACCGAGGGATTGGGAACGATGGCTCAGCGGCTCCAGTGTCGTGTGGATCTCCTTTTCAGTGAGGAGACTCCAACCACACACCTGGTGTAGGACAAGATGGGAATGGGGTCTGCTGTGGGAATTCTATGGTAGAACAGCTTGGAGATCCCTCCAGGCATCTCCCCCTAAGCTCTGGCAAGGGGCTGAGTCCTTCTCTTACCCAGGGTTTTCTCATCTCCGTGCGGCTCTTCCTAAAAAGTTCTGTGCAGTTGGAACTCATGGATGGATGTTCCCAGAACAAAAAAGAAAATTACATCAGCTGTTCCCATCACTGGAATTAAGGGAAAAGCCTCCAGATGTCAGGCATTGTTGTTTTTTGGTTTTTTTTTGTTTTAATCTTTGTGTGACTATAGGAGCTCTTCCTTCATTTGCAGCTAATGAACAGAAGGAAACACAAAAATCTGCACTGGGTTAGAAAGAAGTGGATGTGTTTTGAAAAACCTGCTGGTGTGGGGGTGTGAGGGCTTGGGGCTGCACCCATCGAGGTAAGGGGTGGATTAACAACATGTGGGAGCCTCCAGGCCAACCCAAACTAGGATGTTTCAGGTGGAATACCTGTAACAGGCTTTCTCAGCATCTTTGCTGATGGTGCCCAGCCTCCTGTAGCCCCAAAAGCGACAGTGGGAAATGCCTGAGCCCCTGAGGGCTGGTCAGGACCCACTGCTCCAATTTAATTAAACATCTCAATTGTTTCAATTCAATTAAGCAACGAGCTTGATTGGATCAGCACGAGGAAGGCAGCAAAGAGGGATCTGAGATGTGGCCACTGTCAGCAGCCTCAGAAGGAGGTAGGGATGCAATCTGTGTGGTGGCCAAGAGCATCTAAAATATTTCTTAGGATGTCATACTCTGTGGGAAATGCCTTTAATTAGGTCTGGGGATTTCCACACTTCCCTGCTAGGCTGGGAGTGGGTTGCACAGCTGGATGCCAGTAAAGAACATCTCCTTTGTCAACTTAATAGGGAAAAAATTTTAAAAATTAGAAAAAAAAAATTACCTAGACAGATCTTCTGTACTCATAGTTGGTAATGAAAAGATCCCCAAAGCTTGTAGCGCAAGGATACCACCAACATTTTAAGGATTTTTTGAGAAGAAAATTAGAGAAAAAAAATCTTTTTTCTGGCTGAAACCAGAGCCAGGTGTATAAGGAGGCTGAAGGCTCTGGAACTTATCTGTCCCTCTGGGGAGTGCCCATTGAGGAGCGATTTCTGCTGATTGAACATGGTGCTGATCAAGTTGCTCCAATTGCCTTCTTGGTTCTCTTGGAAAACGGGAACCTTCAGCTCCCCTGCAAAGTCTTTGAAACCCTGCAGTGATTGGGTGGCTCAGCCAAGAGCAGCTCCTCTTTCCCCTCCACCTGCTCTTTTTGTAACGTTTCCATGGTCATTTTCACTTTATTAAAGTGGTTTTTTTCCCCTCACCCATTATGTAAAGGACAGTGGGAGATAACTTTGACCTTAATGGCCGAGGATGAAGAAGCCCTGACTGGGATGGCTCCATTTATTTTACTTTTTCCCAGGAGCGCTGTTGCAGCGTTAAAGCCTGGAGTGTTTGAGTTCTAGAACAATGCACGGGCTCATCTTTGTTTTAAGTGGCTTGTTGGGAGCTCCTGTTTCTCCTCTTGTCCGTGT